TAATGCAAACCTTGGAGGTTTGTTCAGTTCAGTCGGTCAGCAGCGTGTTTGGAGGGTAGCTGCACTGTGCGAGGTGCTGTCCTGGGGTGTGAACAGCAACTTCATGCTGTTGGATTTGTTGTGGTTGTAAAACCAACTCAGGTTGAAAAACATATCTTTTTCTTTACCATTTATAATTTCTGCAGCTGCCATGTGAAGACCAGATCATCCTTCTGAAAGGCTGCTGTATGGAGATAATGTCCCTCCGAGCAGCAGTTCGCTATGACCCCGAGAGTGAGACTTTGACACTAAATGGGGAGATGGCGGTGACAAGGGGCCAGCTGAAAAATGGGGGTCTTGGTGTAGTGTCTGATGCCATTTTTGACCTGGGCATGTCTCTTTCTTCATTTAACCTGGATGACACCGAGGTTGCCCTTCTTCAGGCTGTTCTGCTGATGTCATCAGGTGAGAACAGAAATATATTGGGATCCCAACCATTTTGAAACTCTTTAGTCTTTGTCACAAGCCTCTTTTTAAAAGAAATAGGGTATGTTAAATCTTGTAGTGTTGACTAGAGTAATGTGGGAGAAATTTTCTTTCAAAATCCCCATGCAGCTTAGAATTAGTTTGGTGAGCACTAGGAAAGAGTTCAGGGTATTCAGAGATGGGCAGAAAAGTGGCTTTGATAAAACACCTTGCTCGGTTTAGTACTTAGGGAGGAGGCAGGGATAATCCTCAGAAAGAAATCAGATCTGGTTCTGAGCCAATTTGCCTTGAATGAAAAACTGCTAATTTAGCAACAGTTGTCCGTACAGTAAGTTCCCTCTTCCCCTAGGTACTGGGCGGGAAGTACAGTTCACATGTTTCCATCAGTCTGATACGCTCAGTTTGATCTACCATCCTGTTTTCCTACTTAGCAGCACCACTGCTTGCTAATGGGCATTTGGGAGCTGTGCTGTTTCCCCACACTGGGACCATTTGCAACTGGTCTCTTGGTGGTGTGATACAGAAGCAGCACAGACCATTTCGTGTGATTTCCAAAGAGTTTCTAACTTTCTCAAATCGAATTTGATTTCAAATATGCTTCCACTGACTGTGCCAGGCCAAAGAGAAAATTCCATTCTTGGGCAGTGGCAGATTTGGCAAGATTTTGGTTTAAGACTGCTTTGAAGATTGGGCACTGGATAACAATACACAGACAGTGATTTACAAGCGTTAACTGTGTCTGAGATGGAAAGGTTTCCACATTAATCACAACACAGCACTTGAGCTTCCCAATCAAAACATTTTGATTTCTTTTTAGTTCCCCACACAGTGATACATGAGTTGGGGTTTCAGGGGACCTGCTTTCCCACAAGTGTTTCCTGAAGAGTGACCTGTGAAAGGAGCTTTCCCAGCACCCATCTGGGTGCAGGTTGAGACAATCGGCCAAACTTTTGGCCTTTGTTGTTCCTTGGTGCTCCGTAACAGTTTCCTTTGCAGCTCACCTGTGGATCAAAGCTTGATCAAAGCATTGATCAGACTGTAGAAAAACAGATAGGAAAGAACTGTAATTTAGATACCTGACAAGGAAATTTTTTTGGTTCTTTATTAGTCGTTTTACAGAAAGGTACAGATGGAAGCCTTAGCTGAGGTCAGGGATCTGTTGCTCTAGTCGCTGTAAGGAAACACTTCCCAAACAGCTCTACTCTAAATGGGCAAAGCAGGCAGAGGATGAAGAAAGAAAGAATTATTTCCTTGTTTTAACAGGGGTAGTACTGATAAGTGAGGTGTCCAGGGTCAAAGGAGTTGTTTGCAGCAGAGCCAAATGTTCTTGTTCTCCGTCCTTTCTTTCCTAACACTGAAATCATCCTGGTTTTTCCTGATTTATGATCAGGAATTTGTTAAAGTAAAGAAGTAATAATGATAATTCTGCTGCTTTGTATCTACAGATCGCCCAGGCCTTGTTTGCGTTGAGAGGATAGAAAAGTGTCAAGAGGGTTTCCTCCTGGCATTCGAACACTACATTAATTACAGAAAACACCATGTTGCACACTTTTGGCCAAAACTGCTGATGAAAGTGACAGACCTGCGAATGATCGGAGCCTGCCATGCCAGCCGCTTCCTGCACATGAAGGTGGAGTGCCCCACAGAACTCTTCCCTCCCTTGTTCCTGGAAGTGTTTGAGGATTAGAGAGACTGGAGCGGTTCTCCGCAGCCCCATCGCACTACTGGCTGTCATTTCATCCCGTTGCCCGGCTCTTCTCACCTCTGTTTGTTCTTCTTCTTCTTTCGTGCTCTTCTGTTTCTTGAGGGGGGGTTGGGTTTTTGTTTGGGTTTTCTTTTGGGGTTGCTGGGGGGCAGTTGTATACACATGGATGAAAACATCCCTTTAATGCGGGTACTTGTGACTATTGCAATTTGTTCTTCAGTCCTTTGATGTGAATGCTTTGACAGCTTAACAGTGAAAATACAAACAGACCAATCTCATTCACCAGCACTTGCGTGGTCACCAGCTCACACACATCATTGCTTGGAAAATATGGGAGAGGAATTGAAGTGGCAGAAAATAAATCGACCTCCGAGTTAAAACAGCTATTGTTAATTTGACCCTGGCAATTCTGTCTGGTATTGCCTCATTTTGCAGGGCACAAGCGACCAATCCATGAGATGAAATTTCTCGTCTACATGGTTGTTTCTGTTGTAACAATCATTATTATGATCTAGGCTCTTCATCATCATCATGATCCCATTGTTATCTGAGGATTGTTCCAGCAGATACAGTTTAACTATGCCCCATAAATCAAGTACTTAAAATAATGCAGAGTGTTAGAAGGGACTGACTCTTTTTTTTTTTTTTCCCCATGTGTATAAGAAAGTAAGATTCTTCAGTTCTTACTGCATTTGAACTCCAGGTAACTTCACTGGAAGGCGTGTTGGAGTAAGGAGGGGAATTTGATCCTCTGAGGTGCTTTTCCTGAGAGTGGAGAGGTCTCCTTTTTCTGAGGTGCATGGAAAATTTGTCACTCTGAGGGAGAAGGCTCTCTGTCAGGATAGGCTTTCCTTGGAGTTATTCAGGGATATAAATGCTCACAGAATGAGGACAAGGAGAACGAAACATACAGGGTGACCTTCAGATGGGACAGAAACCGACTGTGTTATTAACGACACTCAAGACTGCACAGCTTTACCCCAGTAATACAAATAGTGTTGCTTGGCAGTAATCTTTTGTTTTATATATATATATAAAGTTTATATGCACATATATATATAATTTTATATATATATAATAAGAAATCTTCAGCAGATGTCTTAAACATATTTCCATGTTTTTATCTTCTCTCTCTCCTCCTCTCACCTTCTTCTGTATGTGTGTGTTTGTGTGTGTTGATCAGCTAGGTTCTCCCTCCTTGTTGTCTGTCTGTGTTTCGTTTGGCTAGATTCTCTCTTGATTCCTTTAATTTATTTCCACTAACTGCACTAGCAGGAACCGAACGGAGCGATGACGGGATGTCCTGCTGCCGAAATCTGCAAGCCAGTACTCACAGTCCTGGAATGTTTGGAGGCCGGTGATGAGGGCATTATAGGTAGAGGTTGCTCTCTGTCATCCATCTCCATTCAGGGATGTTGTCCCTGGGTTTTATAAACTTGATATTAAACCATTCTCTGAATTTGTATGATACATCAAAAGCATCCTTCTGTTCTTCATGGGAACCAGAGACTTAGTTCACGTATTTTGCACTTCCTTATACCCCACGTTCTTTCATGTTGTGCATTCTTTTGTTCCCATTTCTTTCTCTGCTATTTATTGATATATTTGCCTGGCAAGTCAGTGGGCATTGTTAAGGTGGACGTGTTGACTTCCAAAGCTTATGGCCCATATCTAAACCCATATGCTATGTGTTTGTCCCCTCATGAAAACATGATACTCAGGAAAACTTACCTTGTAGGTGGAACACAGTATGTGTGTGTCGGATTAAATTCTTTCCACCCCTCTT